AGTTTGTGTGCAAGATGTATAATTAAAAACAAAAAATGATATAAATAATCAGTCAAAGGATAGTAATATATCAAAGGAAGCTACGAATTTTTTCTGAAAAGTTACAAGATTAAGAGTGAAAATGAGCAGATTTGGAAGAAAGTGATCGTGATCCCTGCAGCTTGCAACCCACTCGACAAGAGTTACTTGAGCTGATAAAGCACACAATATACATATATTGGCACATGCGCTACCGAACTGATTATCATCCCGAAGTGGGTGGGCTCTTATTGACGGACGTTTCGAACACTATTGGTTCGATGGACCCCAAAGTGAATCCTTTTTTTGCCCTTCGATACATTCCCGCTAATAAAAAATAGGCAAAATATTTATTAACGCAGAAAAGACTAATGTAAATGACATTTACAATTGACGATGGACTTATTTATTATTTACATTACCATCCTAACGAAAAGAAATTGTACCTGTGTAATTGTAATAAAGAGATTTCTGTAAAAAGATAATTTAAAAAGGTATCATTATCATTCGTTCGATGTTTATTTTAAGGTCACGTTCAAGAAAGATAAGATGAATAAATTTGAGTATAACAATAAATGTTATATTCCGTAGACAGTAAATGTTTTAGACTCAAGCGTAATATTCCCCAAGATGTGCGGCAAATATGGCACAATTTACTTAAACCGAACTCGACTTACATCGCGATCCCTGACAAGATGTTTAACTAAATGTAATTTCTTATCTCATCTGGGTACATGTTACACCTACTTAATTCTCTATAGTAGTAATGTATGACCATGATACGACACTGAACAAGAAAACTTATGAAGCGGTATCAATGTTTATCGCATCATTAATAAATACTTAATTACGTTACGTTGTGTTCATTACACTAAAATGATATCTAACTATCAATTAAATCTACAAAAGCTAAATATTTGATACAGTTTCCTAAATCTACTTCAGTTTTAGTATAGTAGACCAAACCAGTTACATTTTAAGCTCAAATGGTAACCAAGATTTGCAAGAGATCTGTGAGCAACCCAATCAGTTGTTTTATGTCACCATATTGTTAGTGAAAAGAATCTGTTGAGGTTAAACCATGGAAAAAACAACAACGAAGTAGGAATTTTGTGAACTGAAAAGACGTTATTCAAATAAATTCATTACTAAAATTTATGTAAGAATTTTAACTTTTGTGTCTTGATATTCGATTTTGATTAAACACATCGGTGGTTTTCACATATGACTCTATGCGCTTTTCATGGACTTAACAAGAAAAAACGGCGCTTACTATACGCTATATAATCAACAACTATTTCGTTACTTCATTAATTATTCGAATTAATTGTAATGATAGTTATAAAAAGACTACTTGAAAATGGGTTACACATTACATCATCATCATCAAACATCAACAGCCCTTAACAGTCCACTGCTGGACATAGGCCACTCCTTGGAAAGGAAGTTTTGGCCTACTATACCACGCTAGCCAAACGGGTTGGTATAGAGATTTTTTTAAGTTTGACTTCTCTTTGCAGTGCTTTTGTCCTGCGTAGTTTACACATTTCAATTATTACACATTACAATTATTGCAATATATTACGTACTACAGTATAAGTATACCCTGTGTACTTCGACCAATACTTGTTTAATAAATCTTAACTAAGAAGTCCTGACAACTAGTCTTCAGCAGGAGTGTCGTCTGCTACGCGGACTCAGTGCCGGATTAAGACACCGCGGATCCTGTAGCAAATTCTATCAAGGAGCCCTTGGATTGTTTTAAGTTATCTAGTTTTTGGTATTCATCATCATCATCGACAACCTATAATAGCACATTGTTGCACATATGCCTTTCCTTAAATATTGTAGCATCATTAAAAAACCCCCGACACAAAAAATACATTTAAAAAACAACAAATGCTCATTGATACTGTCTGCTATAATTTTCTGAGGAGTTGGCTATGCCGCAGACTAAGTGATGCAACCATCAGAGTAACAGTATGCCAAATATCAGATCAATCGGTTGATTTTAGTGAAATCCGTTCATCACCTAAGAAGTGAGCTGATGATCTTCAAAATTTATAGATAAGAACGATCTCGATGATATCCGCTCAGTCCATCCGTTCGGGTGCTATCATGCCACAGATAGACAGACAGATACACAGGTTACACTTATAATACCCCTAACCCCTTAACCTAACCCTATAGGGTTTGTTTCAGGTTGAGACATCGGCCCATGTCGTGCGGTGTTCTACAGGGCTCTAGTCTTTGGCCCCCTCCTGTGGAACATAGGATACGACCGCGGCTTCTGAGAAGACTTGCGCCCGTCCCCCTCCCCCTCCATGGGCTGGGCATCATCTGTTATGCCGACGACACTTTGGTTACAGCCCGAGAGGCAATGTTTTAAGGAGCAGCGCGCCTGGCCGTTATCATTGGCGTCTCATTGGTGGTCGGGCGCAGAACCTCAATCGTGGTCAACTCGGTCATAGTACCGGTTACAGATACTTTATATAGGCCTGATCCTACGTATCGGGACGTATCTCTTCGACTAGCAATTCCGACAGATTACTGATGCAGATCCTTTCCGGACACGGCTGATTCTGCCCTCAGTCGCTAGGAGGGAATTGAATCACACCTGTCATTAGCACACACTGGCAGTTTGGCCAGCTTGGGCGTTGCAGCGTCGGATCACAGTGCAAAACATAATTTCTGGTGCAAATAACGCTCACTCTTAGAAATGTTCTAAAAGTTTAAATTATATTTGGACCTTTAGAACTCTTTCGTGATAAAAATTGTGGCGATTATGATTTGAAAAATATTTTCACACTCGCAGAGGTCGAGGTCGACCGGCATATCAAGTACCCGGCCTTACCCTGCTATTGTCAGACCGTCGCTGGACCTTCGAGAAGTATTTCGAGCGGATGATATATATTTCGAGTACGCGAGTGGTGGGCTCCCTACAGACGCTACGGCCTACTCTAGGGGATTCATGGGAGGAAGTTCACTGCCACTTCAACTTCACTGTTATGTGCGGTCATACGATAGATGGCCCACTAAGGAGCGTCAATATGGGCCAAGCGCCAATCAAGCGCAGCGTATAGCGGCAATATGAATCGAGCGAGGATACCGCACTATCTAGTTGGAGGCAGCGATTACGAGCCCTAGCACGTTTCCCGTCTTTCTGATATCCTGGCGAATATGGACGCAATGGTCTATGACTAGACTCGTGCGGTCCGCAGGGGTGAGAGCGGGGAGTTTCAATGAACGCGGGGAAACGCTCGCCGACAGGCACTGATGCCAAGCCGCTCGTGGCTGGGCTAGCGGAATATGCGCCAATACGTTGTCAGTTCTGTTCTGCTTAACAGCGAAGGGTGGGTAGGCAGGAAAGAAGGTCGCATCACCTACCTATTTGACTCAGGAACTCACTGGGCACGGTTGCTTCGGTAAATACCTGAATCGGATCGGAAGTGACTAGACGGTACAATGCCAGAACTGCGCAGTCAAGTAGGACCCCGCCCAGTATACGCTGGAGGACTGTCCCGTGTAGGAAAACAGGAGGTTGAACGAATCGAATGTGATTTGTCCCCACCAGCAATAGCATAAAACGCGATCGAGCCACATAGGTAGTGATTGGGAAAATAGACAGGGCGAATCTTGCTGCTTCTGACAGAATAGGACTTGGCTGGATGCAGCGTCGATTCGGGAGGGGTCTATTCACATAATTCACATGGCCCGGATCCTCCCCAGATAAGGGTGCATGAAGCCTCGGTCTCGGCCGCGGTCATCACGGTGATTTTTAGTTAAACACCACATACTCCTAACTAATGCGTTCCTAAATCGCTTGAAAAATAAAGAGATATCCCTGTCAACAAAATAAAAAGGGTCCCTAAGTAGTATCAGTCCAGGACAAGTTCACGATCCGCGCTCGCCATTGTGATAGATATTTTAAACAAAAAATAAACTCACCTCAAGTGATGGTGTTGCAATTTCTGGCAATGGTGGTGCAGCTTCTCGGGAAGTATGTAGCACTGCATCATCACTCATCGCTACTTTTCCGTATGTTGTAATATGTTGACCAGCATTACGAGATTTTCCACTTAGAAATCCAAAAAGTCTCGAACCTATGGCTCCATTTAATACAAGCAGACATTTGCCAGCGTTTGTTAAGAATATTATCCTTCATAATCAAATTCCTTATTGTGGTAAAAACCCATCCTTCAGGTGCGATGGCCGTGGCTTTCTTTTGATTACTAGTTGGTTCTTAGATTGAATTTCATTTCAAGGGTTTTAACTACGATAAAGGTGCTTGCCTATTATAATCTTATGACTACACTAAAGGCAAAAAAAATGGTTACTGACAGACTTCTTTACATTAGAATATGTTAGCAACACATATATTTTTCTACTAATGATCCATGACGACGATTGATGACGACTGTATGGTGGATATGCTGTCAAAGCCAGATGGCTCTAATTTCTATAGCTGCACTCAATCTCAATCCTACTAATCTAAAGAAATAGAAAAATAGTTAAATGGTGTAGTACAACAAATACAAGTAGCTAATTACTTTTATCGCTAGTCTTATTGAGTGATGTACCCGTTTGTTAGCTTGTAAGTGATCAACATTTTTCATTAAATTACATACATTTATTTATTTTAATTAATTATAATAATGAATGATTTCATACATGTTTAAGAGTGAATTTGAAATACTTAGAAACATTTATTTATATTTCGGTAGTCTAAACAATATATATAATTTTCTGCTTTACATATACTTATGTACATTGCCATTATTAGTTACTTCAACATTTGTAACAGAAACGTTTTGTTTCGTTCCTTCTAACTACCTGTGCATGAATGTGTGTATTTGAGATTTCATGAAGCAGGCCATCCATATTGAATGAATCCAAGTTCTGAATGGAGAAAACTGATGGAATGGTGGTCGACAAAAAAAAACTTATATGCTAAAATTGGGAAGAAATTTAAATTACAGATATTAAAGATCTTTCCAATTAAAGGGTATAAATTTGATACATTTGTGAACTATTGGCGTCTTCTTGTAGTGGCAGTTGTCTAGTTCACTTGAGTCTAAGTCGTTTACTTCGAGCTCTGTTTCCGCTTCTGAAATTATTATTTCAGCATACCAATGCGTTTTGAAATTATTAAAAATACTGGCAAATTAAGACAGGGGTATAAGAAAGGTGGGAATAAAAAAGGCGTGACTATGAAGTACCTACCCTATTGCGGCTTCCTTTTCCAGTTGAACTTTTGTTTGTTGCTTGTTTGTTTTGTTGAGTTTGTTCCACATTGGAGACCGGTAGTTCCTCGATTTGCAAATCTTGCTTTTGCCATAGTTCATCGTTATCCTTTATCTCAGTTATAGTACATCTATTGAGATTTGGGTTTATCGGATTAAATTGATGTTGTTGTGACATGGCAAGCATGCTCAAGATCGCTTGCTGTTCGAATAATGACATAAATCCGGCTATTTCATGGTCGTTAAACATTTTCGTACTATTACTTTCAGCGGGATTTGTATAATTCGTAAAGTAATCATCATTTGCCCACATACGATTTGGGGTATCCATGTTTTGCGACATAATTAATCTCAATAAATTTTCGTGTGCATCAGTCATTACTAAGTCAGTTTGGGTTTCTTTCGACGTAGTATTTTTGTCAGTAGTAGGCGTAGAAACGTCCGGCACTTTCTTTTTGGTGTTTTTCTTACGACGAGACCTAACAGATGGTTTTCTGTAACAAGAGCAAATTTGAATAGGGACAGTTCAGCAATAAACAACGTAAAGTTATGTGAAACTCCAGCTCACTTTGTTTTAGATCGTGCTAAGGTTGGCAACTGCTCTGTGCTGCGTGAAGGTATCGTGAGGTCCTCAGGCATGTCTATATCTGGACTATCTTTGCATGTTTGACTGAAAAAGAAAGATCATTTTTAATTTTTAAAAAAGGCAACTCACGCCCTAGGAATATATCCTGTGTCACAGGGGGACTTTACAAACATACATGAAACGGACACAAAGAACACCCAGACTCAGAATGGACTCAATTTGTGGGTCATACAAAGTGTCGTCCCATGTGGGACAACACTCAGCGTAGTAGGAAGCGGCGTGACGATCGAATAAACCACTACACCATCGGTGCATATAGCATGGATTATGTAAGAAATGTAAGAATTTGTACATCGTAATTACACAGAAATAGGACAGCCCCTGCTCCTGTCGGGCTTGCTAAACTTTTCAAATAAACCAAAAATAAAACAGTATCTAAAAATGAAATTTAGGAATACACTTTCATAATATTAATCGGAATGGAACCTTATATCAGTCCAGTTCAAACAATTGTTTCGTTTGCACATATATGAGAAATGTAAAGCAGATATATCTTTATTTATTTATTTATTGGATCTCCAACAAAGAATATACACAAAAGTACATATAATACATACTTAGTTTTTTGAATAGTGTATTCCTTCAGTTATAGGAGACCACAGCACGCACTAGAATACCCAAACTTATACCCAATACAAAGCTAATTCAAAAGTAACATAGTGAGAAAAACCTCGTAAATAACATTAAATATGACAAAATATTTAAATTTCTTCTTTGTTTTTTTTTCTGAATACAAACAAACAAGACAAATTTAAAAATTACAAAAAAAGAAAAATCTTTATTCCTACTATGCATTGAAGAATGCAAGAATATATGTATATTCTCAAAAGCATACAGAAGCTGTACCGCAATATTTCAAGTCGAATTAAAATATTTTAACTTACTCTGGGCTTAATTGTTCAGGCAATTCTTCGGATTGTGATACATGACGAGATTTTCTGGGTTTTCTGCTTGGCGACTTTCTGAATTTAGCAATATCTTGGTCCTCAAGGAACTTTACTATTGCGGCTGATCGTCTCTTTCTAATACTTCTGTAACTTGGGGAATATATATAACACTTAATCGTAATATAAAACAGTTTTATAATTCGACTTATTCCCATTTTACGACAAATCGCTTTTTTATTTATTTTATTGCACTAATAGCTAATTAAATCTTCTAAATAATATAACAAATTTGCAAATATAAGTTATAATAAATGCTTTAAAAAAAAGTTGAACCGACTTCAAAAAATACTGACAAAGAGCACTAAAAATTAAAAAAATATTACAAATCTAATTGAAAAAACTATAATAACTACTCTCAACATAACAGGTAACATTATAATAGCAATAGTCTCTTCTAGGCTGTTTGAAGTCGGTGCCAAGCCAAATAGGTGCTTGATAGACTTGGTAGAATGTAGCGCGGCAGCTGCAACAGTCTTCATACTGCGCAAAACATGCTGAACGAGCGAAAGTGGGTTACGCACATCTCCAATGATATTATTATTTTGAAAGCTTTATTAATTAGTTGACAAGTGTGTGCACGTTTTTAATTTGGTTGGTCTTTATTAATTAACAGAATCTGCGATGTTTCATTGGAATTATATTGAATTCTTATTTTTTTATGGTGCTAATAAAAAGCGCACATAGACCAGTATTACTTATTGTGCATCGGGCTTAGCACCGACTTCAAACAGACTAGAAGAGACTATTACTATTATAATATTTCCTGTTATATTATGTAATTATTTTTAGTGCTCTTTGTCAGTATTGTTTGAAGTCGATTCAACTTTTTTTAAAGGATTTATTTTACCATTTTTTGTGTAAGATATGTTTGTAATGAGTAGATAATTACGATATTTAAAACACTACGATATACACTATAGCAAGCCAAAACCTCCTTTCTAAGGAGAGGCCTACATTCAGCAGTTGACTAGTAAAGGCTGTTGATGTGTGATGTGAAAGTAATTAATAAAACCCTTAATGAAAACCTTTCAAGTTCTGAGGGCAGTTCCGATTATTTCAAAGCTTTTTTTTTAATTTGGTAGTCCGAGTAACGTAGATTATAATACTAAGGATAATGGCGCCAAAGTCTTCTTATCTTGCTATTTAACTAGCCCATTTAACCTCCTAAGAATAATAGTGTTGAGGCCCGACGCCGATTTAAAAAAATATATATCTTAAACTGCAAGCGGTACTTTTTAATTCGTCTCCATGAATACTCTAAGAATCCAGTAAAACGATGTCTATACAGTGAAGTATCCGATATATGTTCGAGTTCGCATTGCATCGTTCTGGGCGAGGCTGCTGAGTACGGGGAATAGCCTAATGAGAGTTGACAGTGGGGACATGGGTTGCCCAATTTTAACGCACTGGAGCAGCGTAAACCAACCCGTAAAAAGAAAGATACAATTTAATTCAATTATTAATATTCAATTTTAATTATTTATCCTGTCTTGTTCCTTTCTTTTAAAGTATTTATATTGTTTTTTTACCCAATCTTAATTATTTATATTTATTTTAGGATTTAAATTCAATTAAAATTATTTAGATTTTAAGTATTTAATTATATTTATATCTGCATTGTAATAGAATATTGTTAAGATCTTAATTATTATTTGAAATTAATTTTGTTCTATTTATTATCATTTCTGTATTTTTTTTTGTTCTATGAATTACTGTGTTTTTGTAATAATTATGGGATTCTGCCGTGTGGTGATGGATTAAGAATACAGAGTGTCACCACCCCTATTCATCCCGTGGGTGTCGTAAGAGGCGACTAAGGGAGCGAAATACGCAGGACAACAGCACTGCAGAGAGAAGGAAACTTGACACAAACCCTTTTTTTTTTTTTTTTTAACGTGTGGAAATCCCCTCGGACCGTCACCCCACCGGGGTTTGCGGCGGGGTGGTGTGTCGGGCTCGGACCGACTAAAACCACACGGTGTGCCACTCTGCGCCTGTAACAGGAGGGATCCGGGAACAGCTGTTATTAAGACATCCGGACCACTCCTAGCGCCAGCCCGCTCCTGGTGCGGGCTCCGTCTCAAAATTTTCCTCTCTTTAGGCGACGTCCGGCACACGCGGACGCCGCCCCCTCGCGGCTGGCCAAACTAATGCGGGTCACCTAGGGCTACCCGTAAGCCCAGCGCCTCAATGCGCCCGACCACCAGGGAGACTCCCCTTGTGGCCAGGCGCGCCGCCTCTTGGAAGTTCGAACCCCGGGCTGTCACCAGAGTGTCATCTGCGTAACAAATTACACCCAGCCCGGGGGGGAAATCGGCTCGAAGAGCCCAGTCGTACCCTATGTTCCACAAGAGGGGTCCAAGAACAGACCCCTGTGGAACACCGCACGACATGGGCCGACACCTCAAATTACCCTCTCGGTCCTCGTACACGACGGTACGCTCCTCTAAATAGTCTGCCACCAGCCGCCTCAGGTACTTTGGCACCCCATGATAGTGGAGTGCTTCCCTGATGCAGCTGAATGGCAGACTATACTTGACACAAACCCTATACCAACCCGTCTGGCCAGCTTGGTATAGTAGGCCAAAACCTCCTTTCTAAGGAGAGGCCTATGTCCAGCAGTGGACTGTTAAAGGCTGTTGATGTGATGATGTGATGGGATTCTGAAACAGCAATAAATTAATTTTATATTATTGAGTAGTGTAGAAACCCATACGGATTCTCATCTCGCCGGTTAGGCGGTGAGTATTGTAATCAAAACTAAACGGTGTTACGTCTCAACGCTGACGAACCTAGGACCGGCGAGTCTCATATTTGAAAGATTCTTGACATCAGTAGAGGCTAGAGGACTTGCCGATTTCTTCTTGGTTTCAAATATAATAAATTCTACACCACCAATATATAGGAACATCACCCAAAGAATGGCTAGTAGACAAAGCCCAGAGCATTAGGTTCGCTGATGTACATAAGTGCATAAAGTTGTACATAAAAATAAAGTAATAAATCAGTTAGCATTTAACCTTATTACAAAAAAACTCAGCACCTACTGGGCAATAACGGTACTACACTATTATTATAATGCTATCGTGGATTGATTCTGCAGTGTTTCCCTAATAGAAAACTTTGCGCTAATTCTAAATCATTGAATTAGGTTTCACATATTGTACTCTATTTTTGTAACAATAAAGTTTTAACATTGTTCTCTATTTTTATTTTTTGAGAAACTTTGTCTCTATAAATATCTTGTCTTTCTTTTGAAGCTCATTCATTAACAAGTTATTGCGAATGAACGAGCTTTCAATTGCTCATTCAAAATTCCCTTTACAATGCATTGCCTTAATACTGTCGAAGAGACCAGCAGTGCAATTCTCTAAGGAAACAGCCTTGCGTACAGCGCTGCCACAGCGTCGAACTGTAAACCGATGGGCTCTACGTATATGGGCGAAAAGCGGCACATCCGTCCTTTTACTGCTTTTGTCGCAATGGCTTAGATAAGTTGTATAATAGTTTAAAAAAACATTCTGAGTTGTGAATCCAATTTTAGAAAGTCGGCAAATCTGCGTATCTGCTGATCGAGGACACGTAAACAGGGGAGATGTACCGTTCGGCCTTTTACAAAGTATTATCGGTGGCGTAGGGAACAAAGGTGCGGGCGCATGTGCCAATTTCGTTCATTTACGCGGCATCTTCACTTTGAGCGATGGTGATTTCATTAGCAAGGCTACGAGATTAAAACTAAATTTTGTGTGAAATCTTCTACTGACAGACTTTATCCGTCTAGAGATATATATTTAAATACAATGGACAGAAACAAACAAGTTCGTAACTACTCAAGAGCCCTTAAAATATTAAAGAAAGCGTTGAGATTGAGCCATCCCTCCGAAAAATCTTACGATGACAGTGACAAAAACCAATCTATATGTCAAGGAAAACAATATTGTGGTTATTTTGTACAATAATTACTTTTTTAACCAATTTTTAAAAATTGTTGTCATCGCTGTAAATGGGCTAAAACAAAAGTTACAGCTTTGTACGTCGTTCAATGTTTATAGGATTTACTTACGACTATTTTTAAATGCCCTTTTTTACTTAAAATACTTTTAATGTTCATACATGTAATATGTGTTTTAAAAAATATATATATAAGAACAATACACCATTTTTAATATGGGTGGCTTGTTTAGTAAAACTAAATAAACAGCCTAGTGTAACTTTGATGGAATGCTGAAACAAAGATATCGGGTTTGCTTTCAGGGCAAGCATAAAGATTTGTGAAATGTTAGAAATAATAGAAATGTTCAACATTCATTATAATGTTTGAAATTATGTTATCTTAGTTGGTAATTATGGCTTAAAGGGAAAATTTGTGGAACCTGAACATTTATTATAATTTATATATTACTTTGAAAAAAATAATTTCAGACATTAGTTTCCCAGACATAATTTTAGGAGAATATTTAGCTGAAAGTATGTTATCTAATGGTGGTAAAATAATTGGTCCTAAAATAATTCCAGACATATTTATTTGTAACACACCAATGCCATCACCCTCAGTATCCTTTTCACCATCACTTGTAGTTGAAAGCTTGTCGGAACATATTTTAAATGTTAATTATGAAGTTTTAAATGAATTTGGTAACTTTCCGAGGACATTATTTTATATGTGAGCCTGCGTTTTATTTATCTGGTAAGGTCGGTAAGGAAGGTCAAGAGAAATCTTTAAGGCAGAATGGTTAGATACAAACTGAAAGAGCTTAAAGAATGCAGGCAAAGATAATAGTGGTAGTGATGGTAAAGCAAGGCAAGCAAGAACAATGGTTTAATATTTATTTGAAATTAAAAGTGTTTTGATAAATTTACAGAACCTGTTAATCAAAAAATATTCAACAGATTTTAGTTTATTGAGGATCATAGCAAACAATGAAGTATTCTGGCAAAGTATGTCACCAAAACCACTTAACGGTAAAGTGTTGTTGATCACGTATAAAAAGTTCATATTTTTTTTTTAGTTTTACGAATATCAGGTGATGTTTCTGTAATTACTGGAAATAACTATAGACTACGAGTTTCTAGAACTACTTTCTCTTACACTTTCAGTGTAAGCGAAAAGATGGTAAGAACAGCTATTGATAAATACACTGACAAGTAATCTGCT